AAGGTAGATAAGCACAGCCTAACTCCTTTCCTAACATCAGTCGGAAGTGTTAGAAGTCAGGAATGCAAGACAAGGTACCAGACTTATTACATGGTTCCAAAGAAGTTGAGTTCAAGATTGGCACTTGGATGTGTAGTGTTGATGGCTATATCCACCTTTTTGCAATCATATCTCAAAAGATCTGGCTTGTCAAATTTTTTCACTCTCTCATCATCATGCAGATCCTCTGTTCTCCCTAGATTTGATAACATGAAGATTTGTAAATCGGAGTGCTTGCTGAAATTGGTTGTAGGATTTTTTTACACCCCTTAGGCTATATTTATTATAATAACAATAATAATGTTTTACTAAGAAGTACATAAATTGCCCGTGAATAGTCAATCCTGGATACGGTAATTTAGCTCCTAATTATTGCCATATTCTACTGTCCTAATTAGCTGCTAATATAGTGCTATAAAAGGTCTTCTTATATACTAATCCTGTGATGGGTTTAGGGTTTAAATAGAGCATGTGACAATTTCCAATCTCAGATCCCTCCAAAGTTAATCCTGTAACAGTGTTAACTATGTACAATACTATGCAAATAGAGAGTTTGATCAGCATTTTACAGTCAGAATGTTCATCTTAAATGATGATATTATTTTTCATATGTGACCATCTTCGGTTTGATTTGAACCGAGTGCATACACTATTGCTTCTACATCATATGATGAAAAATTTTCTTAATCTTCCAGGTAAATGGAAATCTGACTGTGGATGGTATCGACTTTTATGTAACTGATACTTTTGGAGAATGGCTTTATAACTCCTGTAAAGATGTGAAGTTTGGGACTATGAATACACGGGCTATAGAGTTTATTGGTGCAGGCGCTAAAAATTTCAAAGGTGATTTACAATCATGTTCACAAACTTATTGACATTCCTCGCAAGCAGCTTAACTGGAAAAGAGTATTTAATAAGAAATGTATAGGAGAGTAGCTAGGATTATCAGTTAATAACAATTCTCAGAAGATGTGACTATAGTGTTTGTTGGGCTGATATTCTTATGCTGGTTCCAAGCTTCTTCTTGCATGTGCTAGACTTCTTATGTTTCTGCTTATTACAATTCTTCCAGAGTGGTTTGCATTTATCGGTCAGAAAGCGCCCCTTGGATTTCCTAGTTCACCCTATACCATTGATTTTAAGTTAAGCATTCCCGAGTCATCCAGAATGGAACTTATGAATGTGTCTGTTTATTCATGTGCTGACACTTCACTCGGCTGCTCCTGTGGTGATTGCCCTTCATCACCTGCGTGTTCTAATCCTGAACCACCAACTCCACATAAAAAGGATTATTGCTCAATTAAAATTGGCCATCTTAAGGTAAATTGATCCTCCTTTCTCTGCCCCTCTCCCTTTTCTGCCAGGTGGTTGCTATATAGATGATGCCACACCACTTATGC